TATGTATACAGTGTTCTGTCTGTGTGTGCCTGCAGGCCAGAAGAGGGCACCAGATCTTACTACAGTTGACTGTGAGCCACCATGTGGTTGCTGGGAAATGAACTCAGGACCTCTGGAAGAGCCTCTTAACCACTGAACCATCTCTCCAGCCCCGCCACCAGCATTCTTAACTCATCTCTCCAGCACCTCCAGCAAAAAATTTAAAGATATTCCAGGAATGTGACTCCTCTCCCCCAAGCCTTCTCTATACTGTGTACTCTATTTCCCTCACGGGGTCTGGCTTCCTGTTACAGTGTTAGATAACAGCCTCCACTGGAGCCAACGAAGGTGAGGCCTGTCTAAAACTCCATTTATTGGTGATTTCCCTGACACCAGGTCCATAAAGCTCTTATCTGTCAGCAGCTGAAGAATTCAGTGAGCCCCAGGAACAGCCCCACACCTAGGAACCTACAACAAGTCAAGATAAGCGAGGGTAATAAAGCCAGTGTGGCTGTGTACAATACTGGCGCCTCTGCCAACATTTATGCTACAAGACACTGGGCATTTCCCTAAGGAACCGTCTCCCGCTTCTCCCAGCCAATCACACATATCCTGGGGCTCACTTCCTCTCTGGTGCTGCGCATACTTTGTATTTTTTTAGATTGATTCAGAGTTCTGTTTGTTTTTAAGAGTTCAATCAAGCCTGAGCCTGACAGCCTCAACAAGCTAGGCTCTGCCATCCAAACTCAACATGTCAATTAAAAAGACAAACGTGGGGTTAAAGAGGTGGTTCCACAGTTGAGTGTGTGCTGCTCTTCCAGGGGATGTGAGTTCTGTTCCCAGCACTCACACAGGACAGCTCACCATTACCTGGAACTTCAGTTCCAGGGAATCTGGTGCCCTCTTCTGGCCCTCCTCAGGCACACACAGAAATATACACATTAAAATTTAGATAAGCTAACTTTTAGGATAGTTTTATGTCGATTTGACACAAGCTATAATCCCCTGAGAGGAGGGAAGCTCAATTAAGAAGATGCCTCCATATGATGGAGCTGTAGGGCCTTTTCTTAATTAGTGGTTGAGCAGGGATGGCCCAGTCCATTGTGGATGGTGCCATCCCTGGGTTGTTGATCCCGGGTTCTCTAAGAATGCAGGCCAAGCAAGTCATGAGTTACAAGTCAGTAAGCATCACTGCTCCATGGCTTCTACCTCAGTTAGAGCCTCAAGGCCCCACCCGTTTGAGCTGCTGTTCTGACTTCCTCTGATCATGTCCTCTGATGTGGAAGCGTAGGCTGAATGAAGCCTTCCTTCCCCAAGTATCTTTAGTCATGGTGTTTCATTGCAACAACAGTAACCCTGTCTAAGACGGGATAGAAATATGGGGTCATTTATAAAGATATGGGGAAGTAAAAGAAAGAGCCCTTCACTCTAGAACCTGGTTGAAGCCTCTTAAGACAGCAGCACAATTAGCATTTACTGTGAACTTGAAGGCATAGAGTTAATATTTCTCTTATATGAAAGTACTTGCAAGTAAGAATGCTAAAGAACAGTTAACTTAAGGCCTGAATACATACGACCTCGGGTCAGGCAGGTCTCACCACTCCCAGTCAATCTCACAAAAACTATTCTGCGTTAACCTCAGGCTGTGTCCTGCTCCAAGTCACTCCACACAGTGTAAAACTTTTTTTCAGGTTGTGCCTTGCCTTGCCCTGCGAGGGTAAGTAGCTTTCGAGGCCATTTTAGGATGCACTGTGCACCTGGGGGGGATAAGCAATGTAACCATCTATCCAGCTCCACATGGCATGAGCTGATAAATGACTTTTCTGGGAGCAAAGGGGGTCCCACCTATAAATTTATCAGGATGACTAAGACTGTAGATGCATATGGGTATATTAGCATCCTACCACAGAAGGGCCAGTGAGATGGCTCAGCTGTTAGACACTTGCAGCCAAACCTGGAGACCTGTGTTTAATATACTGGATCCACGAGGTAGGAGACAGCCTACTCCCACAGATTGCCCTCTGATGTCCGCACAGACTGTAGTGTGTATGCTGCTTCCTCGGCCCCCAACACACACACACACACACACACACACACACACACACACACAGTGCTCTTAACTGCTGAGCCATCTCTTCAGCCCCTGGCTTTAGTTTTTTAAGACAAGTTCTCCTGCAGCTCAGGTAGACCTCTGGCTCACTATGTAGCCCAAGCTGATCTTGAACGCTGATCCTCCTGCTTCAGCTTCAGAGTTGAGATCCCACACTCAGCCTTAAGGGGATGGCTAAGGATAGACTACTGTTCCGCCAACATGCAAAGATGTCGAAGACACAAGAAGTGCACCTGCAGGTTACAACACAGTGTGATAGGAGCCAAGTCCAGGTGAGTGTTGCGTCTGGACAGAAGAAAAGATCTGGAAAGACGGGACCCTAATAAGCCGTGAAAAGATGTGGTTTCTTGTGAGGATGAGAAATGGGATGAGAGGAGACTCGCAGGTTCTTCACTCTATTTCATTTTGTCCTGTTTGGAGTTTTTATAAGCAGTTGTTACTTTTGTAATCGGAATCCCTAGTATTTTACTAACATAAAGGCTTAGGCAGAATGAAGGTGTAGCTCAATGATGGGGCATGGGGTGGACATCAGAGGTGGGTAGTGGAGTGTAGCTCAGTAGCAGATCCTGAATTCAGTAGGTTCAGTCCCCAGGACTATAAATAAGAATGTTCAAATGCCTGAACAACTATTTTTCTCGCAGCTATAGTTTTAATCTAAGTAGCCAGAAGTTAATCTTTTTAGGAGCAATATGCAATTTGAATGTTTTTCATGCTTTACGGATGAAATGTGACCTAGACAGAGCATTCACAATAAGGCAGCAGGTGAGTCTCCCTTCGCTCAACTCCAGGGCCCTGCTCCTTCACTGCATCCTAGGTCTTGAGTGTTCTCTCCTACTTAGAAAAGAAACTCTTCTTGATGACCCCTTCCTCCACGTTCTACATCAATATATCAACTGTTTGCTTGCTTGTTTTCATACTGTGTGATGAGCACACCTGTCTACCCCAGAGGAGAAATTCAACGCCAGCAGGCATTGCCTCACACAGAAAGCAGAATCTTCAGCAGCAACAGCTACTACTCTACCACTACTGGACTTAATCCATCTTCCCACTTTGCCCCGCCTCCAGCCCATACTCTGTATGACCACATTCATTATCTCACATCAGCACCAAACGCCCCACAGGGCAGTCTTCACTGCCACTTCGGTGCCTTTGACTACCTGAGGTTCGCTACCTAATCCAGCCCCCTCCAAACACACAGGGACAGGGACTGGGAGCGGAGTGACTCGTCCATGTGCGCACAGACCATCAGGGCAGAGTCACATTCGGGATGCAAGGGAATTGCCGATTTCAGGTGGCTTCTGCTTGCTGCAGATAGAGTATGAGTGACAGCCAGAGAAGCACCCTCCTGCTCCAAGTCACAGTCGTTACGCTGTCGAATGCACACAAGAGAAGAAAATGCAATCTCTGTAAACTTTTCCTAGTCGTCAACAAGAGTCACTGTAGCATCCAGGCTACACACAGCTGCACTATGATAAAATTGTGAGCTCTCCCCAAAAGACTGAAGACTCTGGGGCTTTGTACCGCTCAATACTGATCTCCTAACCGAGTCGACTGCTGTAGGTTTGGGTTGCCAGGGGGACAAACAGCAAAAACACCTTTACAGATTACCGGGTACAAGGAGTGTGCTGAGCATAGGGGAGCCTGAAGCTCCAGCCCTTCAACAGAAATGACACCATCTAGAACTCACCCCAGGTGGCATGTGGAATGACAGTGTGGGACAGGAGAATGAGACATCACAAATGTGTGTGTCTGGTCAGAGATACTGGTTATGTAAAAGCACCCTTGTTAGCAAGGTGGTACTGCAGCTTTATGGGGGTTGCTGTAGGGGAGCATCTCCGGAGAGGCTGGTCATTTCATGACATTTTCTGACCTTCCTAGTTTCTGTTCAGGTGACTAGTTATCTGGCAGGTGACTAGGCCTAGGACAAAGCTCATGAAAACAGCCCAAGCATTCCCTGAGGCTCCACTGTACCAGGAGCTTTAAGGACTCTGCCTGCTCCCAGGGATTGGCCAGCACCACCTCAAAAGCTCACTCCTGAGAACTATATTATACTAAGTTTGCCAAGAGTCATTTTAGGTGGGTTTTTTTTTAACATAAAATACTCCACTAAGTCTAACTATAGTAACTACCTCACTATATCCAGGACGCCTCATTCCACATCTGACTGCAGACAACTAATTTTTAAGTCTATCCACAAACTCGTGATAGATCAGGGAAGGCAGCCTCAAAGGAAGACCTGGACAGTGCCTGTCAAAAGTGAATGCTGCTGTACTGGCTCCCCATGGCCCTGGGGAGCCAGTGCCCACAGGATCACTACTCTGCTTGTACCTCTGACCTCTGGCCTCCACGCTGCCCTTCCCTGCCACCTAAAGCCCCACCACACTGGCAATTCTCTTTCTCTCCTGGGCTGACCCACCACCTCAATTCAGCTCTAAAGGCTAGCAGCATGCCCCAGCTGCAATGAAGACCAAAGTCTTTTGATCATGGCTTTGTTTTTGAGACAGGGTCTCATGTAGCACAGGCTGGCCTCAAACTCTATGTAGCTGAAGGTGACTTCAAATTTCTGATCATCCTTCCTTCTCCTGAATGATAGGATTACAGATGTGGGTCACATCTGTTTAGAAGGCACTGGGAAGTGGCAAAGCTCAGCTCCAGTCCAATCTTGACCTCCAAGGGTCCTTGTGGACCTGATTTACTGGATTTTTCATAGGTCTTTTTCATCCTTGTCTAAATACACTCAGACCTCTCCTCCTATAACCAGACATGCTCCAAGTCAGGAGTCACTACCTATATGAATATGTCATTAATATTGCAGATTCAATGTCACATCCCTAATTTGATCCCTCCCCTTCCTTAATGCTAATGTGTGGACACACCCAGGACACTATGTGTCATGCCAGCACTCTGGAGTCTTAGTCCCAACAATGGTCACTCCAACCCTGCAGGCCCTCTGCAGCAAGCCCACCCCGGCACTCGTTACACAGTCTTCTAGGCACTGGTTCCCCAGCCTTGTCCACACAGCCTGTGTGACCAGACAGTACTCACGGCTGTTACATAAACAATTTTATTAAATAACCAGGACTGACCCTTTCCCACTCACACCAGCACATGCACTCGTACACGCGTGTCCTCATTTCTCTTCTTCCTGAACAGCCACCTCAAACCCCACGGTTCTCATTGTGACCATCCTCAAACCTGAAAATTGGGAGCTGCCATGCGAGACATGGGTGCTCTTCCCCCAGCCCTGGGCAAGCCCCCTCACCATCCTCCTGATGGAGCAGGAGGTCAGCTCTTCCAAGGCACCCTGATCTGGTGTGGTTTCCCTTCACACGACCCAGGAGCACCAGCACCCAGAGCTGCTCTTTGAGGCTGGGACCTCTCACTTCAGGTCAACTCCTCCCACACACGGGAGGCTTTGCATTTGTGCTTAAAGCGCTCCCCAAAGGTTCCTGGAGTAGGTACTATCTGGCGTGAGGAAGAGCACTAGAGAACAATTGAGCACCAAATTCCCTAATGCCACCCTGTAGGAGGGTGCCAAGCTCCAGTCCAACCTCTACCCAAAAAAAGCAAGCCCAGAGCCACACACGAGGAGGCGGGTGGGGATGGCAAGGTCTCAGCCTTGAGAATCTCACATCTCTACCCTCTAGCATAGACCCCATCAGGGACCTACTAGCACCTTGGCAATGAGAAGGGCCCAGCCCAGCTAGAGACAAACCACACAGACAGGGGCCATTTGAGTTGGTCCTAATGGCCACGTTGGTAACAAAGTTGAGTTCCTCCACCTGACACTGAATTGTGGACACGCAGCACAGCAGCGAAGGTCACAAGGGGTGCACTGACAGAAGGTAGTGTCTTCCAGAGGCACACGGACAGTTTACACATTGCTCACAGGCAGGCTAGGACAGAAGGACAAGAGCACAGGCTGCCGGGACTCAGCAGCATATCTAGGGCACCCTGGGGAGCTGCCTTCTGGGAAGACGACGCCAGGAAGCAACAGGTGAGGCCTGTCCAACCACTTGGGCTAGGACACGTGTTCTCACATGACCTTCCTGCATCTTTTCTTGACCAAGTTCCCTGAGGGGAAAAGTCAGACAGATAGAAGTCAGGTCGGAAGAGGACATCAGAGCGCATCAGAGAGACTCAAGTGCCAGGAGGGGAAGAGGAGACAGGGCCAGAGCGCAAGCCTTCTGGGTGGGTAAGGCAAAGAGAGAGCTGCCTCCTGAGAAGGAACAGTGGGAAAGCTAGGGACAGAGGACTGAGACACAGCTGACCTTGCCCAGGCAAGGCTGCAGACCAGACCTGGGGCCCTGATTGCCCATATTGAAGTCAAGCCAGCACACCGCACAAAGCTACAGGCTGACGCTGCGCTGGTGCCGGCCCCCTCGGACTCCACCGTCACTTCCCCGGCGTCCCCGACTCTGGGGTCCCAGCTCCTGGCCATCTAGACTGGCGTGGTCTGAGAGGCCACGCAGGTGCTCCACTGAGTCACACTTCTGCAGGTCAGAGGCCACGGTGCGCAGGCTCAACAGGCTCAGTGTGTCCGTATCTGGGCCTGGACCAGGCCCAAGGCTGCTGCCCTCTTCCAGGCCCCCGCCCTCTGCCCCTTCAATCCCACTGTCCCCATCCTCAATGCCCTCAGGACCAGCTTCAGCCCCCACAGGGGAGGTTCGTCGTGGACCCAAGGAGTGAGGAGGCAAGCCCCGGCGCCGGGCATGAATCTGCTCGCTGATCTGCTCCAAGTTACGCAGCGCCACTGAGTAGCGGGTCTTGGCCTGTGCCACCTGCTGCTCCAGTTCTGTCACCTTGGCCTTGTGCTCCTGCAGGGGAGACAGGTAACCCATAAGATGTCGTCTGAACCCACTCAGCCTAAGGTCAGCCTCCTAGCCCAGAGCCCCTGGATACCCTCGACAACACTGAACCGCAATGCTTTTTCCAGCCGGGCTACGCCCTCTGAATGTCCCTCCTCACCTGAGCCCCACCCAGCCTTCCTCCCATTGGCTCCTCCTCCTCCTCCCTTTCTCTCCATTCTTCCTCTGCATCTGGCTGGTTTGCCCCCATTCCCAGCTTCCACCAATTCTCACTTTCCTCATTTACCTTTGCTTCTTGATCAATGTTCTCTACCAGCTCAAACCGATCACTCGGGCCTCCCACTCCTGCAGGATCCTTTTGAGCACTTGCTAGAGCACTGGCTGATCTGGCAAGGTTTTACCCGCATCAGTCCCCAGCACTGACCAAAGAAGCACACCAGCACTTCCTCTACCGGCCCATCCTTCAAGCTTAGCTACCTCCAGGATTTGGCTGAACTGGGCCTTGAGCTCGAAGTAGGGGCGGCTCTTGCCAATGGCTCGCCGGAGGGTCTTCTGCAGGGCCTGGACCCGAGCCTCAGCCTGCTGGCACAGCCGAGTCACACGCTGATGCTCCCGTTCACCTCGAAGCCGCTCTTCCTCTGCCTCATTCACCTGGCCCGGATAGGGAGGAGGACACACATCAATGAGCTGGCATACATACACCCCAGGATCAGCCCTAGGCTGCCAATATGCACACTGCCCTGGGGGAACCTGAAAAGGAATGTCCACAAACCCCTTCCCCCAACCCCCACTGTCTACAAAGTGAGACGGACAGGGATTGGGGACAGCAAGAGCTTCTTACCATCTCTTTCGGACACGGATCTCAAGCACTTGCCTCTGTATACACCTCTTCCCCACAGTCTTGCCACTCAGCTTTGCTGATACCATGGAAGGGTGTTACTTACAGCCAGCTCATTCCCTAAGAGTGGCTGAACACCCTCAAGCACACTGCAATTGAGCAACCAAATAATCCTGAGGGACCCCTCAGTGCCAGTGGCTAGAAGTACAGGACAGGAGGCACTGCCTATGGAAAGCTGCGGAGGCATGCTAACTTCTAGTTTCCACACGCTCCCTATCTGTGTGTAGCCCAGAACAGCATGGAACCAGGAGATTTCCAGGAGAAGTGGAGAACCAGACAAGCTCGTGGGTGCCCCCATCCCTATGGTTACCCAACACACCTAAACCCATTCATGAAGCTCACAATAGATAAAGTGTCTTCTCTAGGCATCCAAAATTGAAAGACACAGACACTACCCAGGAGCTGACACATGCCACAGACAAGCTGAAGGAGGCACAGTGAGCCCATGCCAGGGTGCCCCATTTCCCAGTCTACTTGTAGGAGGCCTGGAAATGGCACATAAGTCAACCCTCCAAGATACACTGGCAGAGTGCAAGACACTGAAGAGAAACTTCCTGGAAACAGGAACAGGGAGTTACACAGCTGAACCTAACACGTGGGTACTGAATCCAAAGCCACTGCCTGGAAACAGCTCATGGGTCAGCCCCATCCAGAGGACAGAGAGTAGAGGAGGCCTCCTAAGAGGGAAATGTTAGAATGGAAGCACTGGAGGGCAAGCGGGCAGTGGTAGGACAGACTCCGCCCTAAATGAAACCAAAGCTAAGGGAAGGCTGGAGGGGGAGAGTGAGCAGAAGGGGTGAGGAGGTAAGATGAAGCAATGTAAAACGGAGCAGCCCCTTACCTTACAGGTAGCATGGTTGAGCATCTCCTGCCAAGTAGGGTCCAGTCGATTTTTGTCAGCCATGACACCCTGCTCAGCCACGAAAACCATCTCCCGGGCGGCATTGTGCATGCTCACAGCCCGCTCGTAGCGCAATGCAGCCTTCTGTGTCTCCTGCTGGGCCTGTGGGGAGAGGGCCATCAGGATGGAGAGTCCTGAAGGACCCCAGTCACCCATAAGATCCTTACCTCAAAGGGGTAAGGAAAGACAAAGAGAGACCCGCTTATACTGTCAGCTCCAGTTCCCAAACCACACTAAAAATAGATGCCATCAAAGCAATGCTCTACAGACGTGAAAAAGAGATGTAGAAACATGGAGAAGATACTGCTGCCAGGGCATGGTGGCCCCATGACATCTAGCCAGACTCTGTGTGTGTGTGTGTGTGTGTGTGTGTGTGTGTGTGTTTTCGCACGCACATAAATAAAACAACTATTTTTAAATAAAAATATTTGTGTATATCAGGTTATATGTATAGGATGCTTATGAAATTTACAAACCCTGCTCCGGGTTTCGGTTAGATTGTCATCTCCAAGGTATGACATTATATATAGACATATATCCCAAAATCTGGGAAAAGAATCCAAAATATTTCTTAGCCCAAAATTAAGATAAAGACTGCTTCTCAGCTCACTGGCTAAGATCAAGCACAGCATCTATTACCAGTTTAACATCTGATACATCCTCTATCCAAAATTAAGATAAGAGATATTCAACCATTACTAGGCAAGCAAAAACCTAGAAGCAAACCCACACTTCCAGGTTGACAGAAAACGGAAAAGAGCATGTCTTACAAGTGGAAATAGCACAGCTGGGCGTGACGGTACACACCTTTAATCCCAATACTAAGAAGGCAGAGACAGGCAGAACTCTGTGAGTTCAAGATTGAGGCCAGCCTGGTCCACATAATATGCTCCAGAACAACCAGGACTCATGGAGAAACCCTGTCTCAAAATAAATAAATACGAAGGAAGGAAGGAAGGAAGGAAGGAAGGAAGGGAAGGATATAGCTGTTGAGCTTATAAAGTATGACACAGAGTTAGGGGTGTGACTCAGTAGCAAAACACTTCTTCACAACTGAACCATTTCTCAGCCCCAGAAAGCACTTTGTCACCAGAAGGTGGCTGTCTAGAGCTTTTGTATTATGTTATAACACAGTAACACAGGTAAAATGAAGGAACAAAAACAGCACATATTATATGACCCTACTTTTGTAAAATATACACCTAAGTAGTTTTTAAAACAAAAAAAAAGCAAAATCTAGAAATAATAGTAAAGGGAAGAACGCATGCTTAGTTGCTTATAGCATACAAAGAAACAGATTCATAGCAACTAACAAACTGGCTTTTAGAGTTGGCATGACATACATACACTGGGCACAAACAGGGTTAAGCAGCCACATAAAGCAGGAATCAGTTCAATGATTTTAGCTGTTCAAACTCGGCATGTACATACTTTTTTAAAAGATCAGACTTCTCATACGACCTAATCAACCTCCTGCACTTCTCTAAAGCAGTAATAGGTTGCACATTTGATAAAGTGAATGGCATAAATTACCAAGTCACACTTTTTGTTATAGGTTGTAGAGTAAATGAGTTTTATAAACAGAATTATTGTAAAAAGGCAACTCTACCAAATTTGGCAGTATCAATAAAATTGTAAAAACTCAAGAAGAAATAATTGTAAAAGTTCCTGAGCAATGAGTTTGTTCATGTGTTTGTTTTCGAATGACTGCTAATTATCAAATTATATTTAAAGCTAAATCTATCATATGTGCAAATTTAAGAAATATCTGGAGAGCAAAAAAAAAGGCTGCTGAGGAGTAGGAGAAGACCAGATTTTCCATCTTACTACTATTTCTATATTTTAATTCATATATAATTAGAAGTTCTTTTTTGTTATTAAATGTAAATTTTGTTCAAAATGAAAACTAAAAAAATGCAAGTTACTAAGAAGTGGTTCTCAAATGCAAAATATAAGTGTGAATTGCCTAGGTTGTATACAAGTTTGTAATGAAATTTGAATTACAGGTAATATAGTACAGTGATAATATATACCTAAATGAATAATACAGTGTAAAAACCATATTGCTTACATATTTTGAGGTAAACAAAAACCTATTCCCATTAATAATAATAAATATTCCAAGGAAGTGGTGGTGCATGCCTTTAATCCCAACACTTGGGAGGCAAAGGCAGGAAGATCTCAGTGAGTCTAAAGCCAGCCTGGTCTACAAAGCAAGTTTGAGGACACCAGGACTGTTACACAGAGAAACCCTGTCTCAATAACAATAATAATAATAATAAATATTGACAAAAAAACAAAACAAAACAGTAGCATTATCAAGCCAGGTATAATGGCCCAAGCTTTTAATCCCAGCACTCAGGAGGCAGAAGCAAGCAAATCTGAGTTTGAGGCCAGCCTGGTCTATATAGAGTTCCAGAACAGCCAGAGCTACATAGAGAGACACTGTCTCAAAAAGGAGAAGGAAGGAAGGGAGGGAAGGAGAGAGGGATAGGAAGGAAAGGGAAGAGAGTAAGAAACAAAGAAAGAGAAAACAGTAGGATGTCAGAGTGGATATCCTAGATACACCCTAAGTACTTAAACACAGAAGACATCTAAACATCAGCAGGTGAGGCCTATGGGTGGAACTCAGCAGGAGAGTTCTTGTCTGGTATTCCCAAGACCCTGGCTTTGATCCCAGCCCAAGGAAGTAGAGGAGAGGGGAAGGGAGGGCAGAAGAGAGGAGTGAAGAGGAGGAGAAGGCAGAAGGAAGGATAGAAAGAATGAAGCCATTAGTAAGACTGAAATTTTCTGGACAAGACCCAATGCCTCCACACAACCATTTCTTGACCATGAGTCCATTTTCTTACATTTTATACGTGTGTGTGTGTGTGTGTGTGTGTGTGTGTGTGTGTGTGTGTGTTTGTGTGTGTGTGTATCAGCACAAATGCCACACGATGCATGTGGAGGTCAGAAGACAATACACAGGAGTCACCATGTGGATTCCAGTGAATGAGCTCACGTCATCAGGTCAGGGAGGAGGTGCCTTTATCCACTGAGCCCATTTCCTACAACTATAAGAACCTCAACTCACAGGCTGTTCAGAGCACGTCCATATCCTTAAGTATGGTGCCTTATTCTCAACTCCATACAGAGACTGAGTCCAGAAACAGTCCCTGCAGGAAGCCCTCCCTGATTGTAGGTCCAACTGCCCTGCTGCTTAGTGCTGTCAACTAGACACAGCCTCGAGTCACCTGAAAGGGAATCTCAGCTGGGGAACTGTCCAGATCAGACCGGCCTGTGGGCATGTCTATAGTGCACTGTCTTGACTGCTAGTTGATGTAAAGTCCAGCCCACTATGGGTGGCACATTCCCTGAGCAGGTGGTCCTAGACTATATAGGAAAGCTAGCTGAGTATAAGCCCTCAAGTGAGCCAGCAAGCAGGTTCCTCACGGTCCTGTCCCAGTTCTTGCTAGGGTTGCTGCCTTGACGTCCATCAGTGATGGACCGTGACCTGGAAGTGTAAGTCACAGAAACCCTTACCTCCCCTAAGGTCTCAGTATTTGTCACAGCAGCAAAAACACAGGCATACCTCCTTAGCCAGTCGTCGAGCCTCATAGTAGGGCCGGGCCTTCTCAATACAGCTCCCCAAGTGAGAGCCCTGAGTGTTAAGCTTTCTTGCAGACTCCTGCAGGATCCTCCGATAAGTGGTCCTTGCCTCCTGGAAGGGAAGATACAGAGCAGGCATACAGGTCTCAGAATCTCATTTCTAGACACACCACTGTCTCAACCTAGGAAAGCACAAATAAGAGAAATCCCCAGAGACCAACCCAAGGGCGTGAGAAATGAGACACTCACATCTAGCTGGAGCTCCACCTGGTTGATCTCCTCACTAGCCTGGTTCAGATGTTCCAGCTCCTCCTGCCAAAGAAGGGTGTGAGTTAGAACAGGCGCGAGGAGCCTCAAGTGAACTACACTAGGCAGGGAGGAAAAACAGAGAGAGAGTACCAGCAGACTGGGGAGCAGAGTGAGTCACTTGAAAAGGGCTAAGAAATGCAGGAGGGACTGTTCCGGCAGCACCCTGTCCAGGCCAGAGGACAGTCTCATGTAATCTTCACAGTTCCACTTAACTGAGTAGTCAGATTGCAAGGATGAGGAAACCCCAGTTCAGGGAATGCGGTCCTACCACACACAGAGCAGCAGCACTGAGCCTCACTCTCCACCAGAGCGCACTACTTCCTCTTGATGGGGGAAATTTTCTAGAAGATAAAGGATTCTCCTTCCTGGGCCAGGAGGGTCACACACTTAGTACACGCTTACTACATACTTACTGCTCAGTACTTAAAAAAATGTGAGCACGTTGGGCGGTGGTGGCGCACGTCTTTAATCCCAGCAGTTGGGAGGCAGAGGCAGGTGGATCGCTGTGAGTCTGAGGCCAGCCTGGTCTACAGAGCTAGTTCCAGGACAGGCTCCAAAGCCACAGCAAAACACCCCCCCCCCAAAAAAAAAATGTGAGCACAGAGCCTGGAGAGATGGCTCGGGGTTTAAGACTATATGTTGCTCTTGTAGAGGTACCAAGTTCAGGACCCAGCACCCACATGGCAATTCACAACCACCTGCAAGTCCAGCTCCAGGGGACCCAGTGTCCTCTTCTAGCCTCCAAGGGCACTGCATGAACATGGTCCACATACATATATGCAGATAAGACACATACATAAAAAACACATCTTTTAAAAAGAATGTAGAAAATAGAGAAAAAAAATGAGTGGAGCTGGAGAGATGGCTCAGAGGTTAAGAGCACCGGAGGAAGGAAGGAAAGAAGAGGGAGGGAGGGAGGGAGGCAGGCAGGCAGGCAGGCAGGCAGAATTTAGAACACAGCACACACAGAGGTTGTGACTCCCATCAGTGAGCAAAAGGTTCTTGGCAGCAGTAAACCTGTGTGAAAATGGGTACAGGGGCCCCCTAGACCTCAGGATCACCCACCTGGGCTAGAAAAAGCCAGAGCAAGTTGCCTGGAGCCCCTCTTCCCAGCAAGAAGGCAAAGTAGAGCAAGTGCTCCAGGGAGACAAGTTGAGGGGCACAAAGAAAGACCAGTGAAACAGGCACCATAGGAAGAGCAGAAAATAGAGACCCAATTGGCAAAGTGAATCCCTAGAGCCTGGGGCCACTGAGTCTGAGATGTAAGATGACAAATCCGAGCAATGGAAGGAAAGCTGGAGGGATCACAGAAACAGAAGTAAAAGCTATTTACTGTGTTCCAAGAGGAAGAAGAAGGGAAAGACCCCAAGGAAATGCAGGACACAGAAACACAAGGGCTTGTTGGATGATCAAGATGAAAACCAAAGACCAGGGAAGGACAAGGTTCCAAGAGGTTTTTTGACCAGATCCCATCCAATGCAATATAACTTTTCCTACCTATTCATTTTTCTAATTATGAGTATAGGATGAGGGGTATGCATGTGAGTGCAGGTGCCTGCAGAGGCCAAGGCATCAAATTCCCCTAGAGTTACAGCTGGTTATGGGCTGCCCAACATGGGTGCTGCGAACTTAACTCAGGTCCCTGTAAGAGCAGTACATGCCCTTAACTACTACTAAGTCATCTCAGAAGCCACCCCCTCTTCCCCCGTGCAATGATCTGGTAGTGGCAAGGAGGAATCTCAGGAGAAAAATTACTAGACGTACTAGTTGGAATGTCTCACTGGTCCCTGGGCCTGAAAGAAGAGCTTGGAACCACCCTAGATCTCTCAGTGATGGGACAGAGAGCTAAGAAAGCTGCTGGCTACAAACCATTCTCCCTTGCCTAAGAGAACACATTCAATCCCAGATCCTGGGAATCTGAGGATACCCGTTAGAGTGTTGGGCTGTGCCAAGGGCTCTGCATCAGGAAATGCCAGGTACTTAGTCACAGGCTCCACAGGGCAGGTGCTCCGCCCCAGGTGCTGCCTCCACCAGTCCATGCAGTCTGCCTGCTGTTCATCCATGACAGCCATTAGACAGCAACTCCACCATCTTGCCCCCTCTGCACAGATGTGATATTGGCTACCATTCGCCTGGCTTGGCCCTTCCAGCAACCCAGTGAGGGGGGTTGGACTGGAATGAAAGAGCTCACTTATTTCATAAACAGACACACAAGTGCACACTTTGAAAAGACATTGAAAAACTAAAAGTACAGGAAACTGCTCCCATGTGTCCAATAAGTTCCGAGACAGACGGGCTATACAGAGAAACCCTGTCTCAAAAAAACAAGAAAGAAAGAAAGAAAGAAAGAAAGAAAGAAAGAAAGGAAGGAAGAAAGAAAGACAGACAAAGCCTGCTGACAGGTCTAACTAGTGCTCACAAAGCTCACACAGAAACAAGAGAAGCCCCCCACAGACAGACGGACATGGTAAGCAGGGAGGAACAGCCACACTAAAGCATCATGGCGAAGTACAGTGGGTAGCCGCTGAGCACCCAAAGTGCTGTTGTGGACAGTCAGCAACACATTCCATTTGGCCTGTTCCACCAGAAACTCCTGGCACTCGGCGAAAATGGAATTCAGGGTCTGAGTCAGCATGCATCATCTGTCAGAAAGCCAGCAGCCAGCAGGAAGATGACCTTCTTGGGGCACTCTGGGTGCATTCCCAGAAGGCCAGGCCACTGAGTCAAAGCATGGGTGCTGGACTACAATGTTTCTGCTCCACCCTTGGACGCTTCTGGTCCTCTTCCACAAACCACCAAAAGCCCAAGCAGATGAGTAAACAGGGCCAGGGTGGTGATGACTGTATTTTGAGAGTTAAACTAACAGATGAAGATTAGGACGATAAGAATTGGGAGTAAAGCAAGGGTGTCCACATATCTTTTAAAAAAAAGTATCCATCGGAAAGAAAGTAGAGCTGAACATGGTGGCACACACCTATAATCCCATTCAGGATACAGAAGCAAAAGGATCAGGAGTTCAAAGTCAGCATGAGCTATACAGTGAGTTCAAGATCATCAACTACATGAAACACTATCTCGCAAAACAAAACAAAACACCCAAGGAGGCAGAGAAAACCAGAGGGGGCCAGGCCCATCCTAGCACCACCAATCCCTCTGCCCAACACACCCACTCCTTCCACTAACCCTCTTTCCAAAAGCTGGAGGACTTGAGGAACTCCAATGATCCAGTGAAACCTTGATGGAGACACGACGACCTTTTCTGAAGGGGTAAACAGATACTACAGGCAGATACAGGCGAGTCTCCAGTCTACTTCCAGAGACGTCCCACCAGATGACAGACATGAGCTACCTGCCTGTCAGCCATGGAAACCCAGCCTCACATTATGGAGCCTCACCCTGAAGATAAGCATTTCCAAGAAATTCAAAAAATTCCAAAATAGGTCAGAGCCCTACCTCTGGGCCACCCCTTGCCTAGTGGACTCGGCCCCGGCTGTGCTTTAATTTCACATCTTATTCTGTTCGGCAGTGTAAATGAAATGTTTTTGAAAACTCCCTAGTGGGTTTTGATGGATCTGTTAATGGAGACATATTAAATGTGTTGAGAATTCCGAAAATCAGACACTCCCTGAAAGAGCTGAGGCACATTTTCCAGGCATGCACTATCAACACTAAAAAAAACGCTGAACACTTGCTAACTCACCTCCTCGGCACCAGAGAATACAAACACAGAAGGCAAAATGTTGTGGCCACCACCTCAAAACTGCAGTATTCCTCCTACCAGGCTGCTTTTTCCTACAGCAAAGTCTACAAAGTCAGGCTGAAGAACTGACCTATCTGTGCCTGTGTCATTAAATGAGGCGGAATGTGGGGCCTTCCCTCCCCGTGCAGCCTACCACGCTCCACTAAGTGCAGTGTGGCTTAGCAGGAGAGACTAGCCCCTCCAGTACAGGTCACACTGCAAGCTCCCTGGAGGCAAAGCTGACCTTACGCGCCGTCAGGGCGTCCAACACTCCCTCCCAGAGCACAACCATCAGAACTGTGGAGGCAGAAATGTCCCATCAGCACCAGCACCACAGTAAGAACTGCGGGTCTTAGTCTACCTGATTACATTTCCACAGGGACTCTGGCGGTTACCTTTTGGGCAGTGCAGCCTCTCCATTCTACTTCCTTTGCCTCCATGATTACTGGAAAAGTACACAGGACAAGAGGTGAGAAGAAGATGGAAGAAGGCAGGAGAGAAGGCTTCTCCAGAGCAGAGGATGTTTCGGGAAGGTATAAGAAGTGCATTATACATCCTCTCCTCGAGGAACAGATAGAGTTCCTTAACAATCTATAAACACTACCAAAGAAACAAGCAAAAGTATTTTTAAAAAAATTATATACTTCTGTGCACAGTGAATGGGAGCTGTGCAAACCAGACAAATCAAATCCCCCACTTTATAGACAAATTAACTCAAAAAAAAAGTTAACTTTCTCAACAATCACAAATCATGGGGCTGAGGCAGAGGCTCCAGACTTTTTTGGGTGTTTTCTCAGTGGAGGACAAGTCTTTAGAATGAGCATGAGAAGCTGAGCTGTTTTCAATTCAGCACCATGAAGTACAGCAGAAATAAAATACTGACTCATGCCAGAAAAGACTAGCTCACCAAATCCTTCATTACAAGCACACAAACAGCCCGAGAGAAGCCTTACTACACACACACACACACACACACACACACACACCCCAAAACCAGCTTTGCTTTCTTTGCAATTCATTGGCATTACCCAGTTAAGGTTTGTTGACAGACAAGCCCAGGAATTCAAGCATTAGGATGCTCTGGCTACCTAGAAGGAGATAAATCACTACCCCAAGTAACAGAACCTCAGAGATGCAACCTACCCAAATGGCATAGTTGGACCCCAAACACAAGCATATGCTGGCTATTATTTGCCCAAGAAACTTCCCTGAGTCCTCCTTAGACAGCACCCTGAAACACTACAGATAGCTCAGCTTCACCTAGCCAGCCATCTCCTCCACAACGCTCAGTCTCTTCATACCCATTTCCCTGATGTCTCTTACACAACCATCCCCACCTTACCAACTAGACTGGACACACTCCACGACAATACACTGTTCTACCATTCTTTTGGTAAATCCACAATTCCAAGAGCCAGGAATGTATAATAAGGACTGATCCCAACTGGTCTAAATCCTTGCAATATAAGAGGCTTTCTGCTGGGCATGAAGGTCATACTTTTAATCCCAGCACTTGGGAGGCAGAGGCAGGCGGATCTCTGAGTTCTATGCCGCCATGGTCTAAAATAACCCTGTCTCAAAAAAAAAAAAAATACAGACAGAAATTTTTATAGTGCCTTTCAAATACCTAAAAGATTGCACAACTAGATTCTGAGACACTGCTGAGAAGGCAGAAATATGGAAAGATCCCCTCACTTAGTCTCAAAACTGCCTCCCAATCTCAGTCACTTCCTCTTGCCTCCAGTACATGCAAGACATCGGGGCTCCCAGCCCCTCTGCTTAGTCAGAAAGAAGAGCAATGGTTCTATGCCCTGAAGTGTATCATCACTCAGCATACCCCGAGCAGGGCCCCGGATCCCCATCAGCACTTCCGTTGGCACTTGTCACGATAAACCACAATGCTTGGTGCACACACCTGTTTTCATTCCCCACCCCAGTGCACTGTGGGAGAGTAAGTCTAAGGCCCCTCTCCTCGGACACAGTCTCTTCAGCGAGTCTGGAACCTGGGCTTCCCTTCCCTCCATCCACTCGGCCTTCTCACCTGTATCCTAGGATCCAGTTCTTCCTCCTCTCTGGGGGACAACTTGGTCTCGCTGCTGCTGCTTCCACCTCCTCCAGGCTCCTCTGCTACCGGGCTCCTAGGGACTTCATCCTCTACCACCTCTGGCCGCAGTTCCCCCTGGGGAGTCTCTCGGCCTCCTGGAGCCTTTTTGAAATCAGCCATGCTGGCTGGAAGAGGGCAGAGCCCTATGCACGAGAGAGGGCTGACATGCTGGGACCAGGGCCCCAGCTTGAGGCTTCCTGGGCTTTGGATGTCAAAGAGAAGGGCTTCTCTTCTCAAAGGCAGGGGGAAAGGGGCACAGGACAAGCCTCGAGCTCGGTTAGAGGCCGAGATTCAAAGTGTTGGCGAGGTCCCTATAACTAAAGCCTGGTCTGTGCGAAAGTTCTTCACACCCCACCACAGGGAGTCCACCAGCAGCAACAGCCCCAAATCAAGGAGCAAAGGGGGCCTGGATCCTGGGCCGAGGCCTACGAAGAGGAGCACCATTCGGGAGGGTGGAGGCAAGCGCCTCCAGGCTGCGGTGGCAGATGGAGAGACGGCTAAGTCCGAGCAGAGGCTAAGAGATGAGCCTCTGGGGAGCTGCAGGAGAAACAAAGGCCAAGTTATATATGATGTCAGCATCAGAACCTTGGCCAGCAGCCTCTTCCAAGTCCTGGGTCTCCCAAAGACACCACTGTATCACAAACACACACTTGTGTGGTCCGACCAGTCCCCACCACAACTTCTTTCCTCAGGCCTCAAGGACTTGAGGTCCGACTCTGCCCCTGTCCCTGTTCCTCTCACTCCAGCCCCTCCCTAGTCAGCATCTTGCAGACTCCCCTCTGAGCCCCTACCCTCTCATCCACTCCCTCTTTCGATCCAGCCTGTCCCCCACCACCCTCTCCGGCTTAGCAATTCACCTTCTAAGCCTCTCAACCTCGCCTCACCAGTCCTGCGGACCATCGGAGCCTCTAGGCTCCAACCCCACACTCTTCGGCAGTCCCAAGGCCTGAGTTCCAGTCATCCCTAATGACCAAGAGCAAAAAATCCCCGTCCTGGCTTTACCTCAGTTTACCTTGTTGTGCGGGGAGCGTCAGGGAGCAAACAATCTTCCCCCGCCCTCCCCGCAACAAGACTGTCCAACCAAAAACGCCCCGGCGGAGAGGAAACGGAAATATGCCATCGCGTAACAACGCTATCCCTCCCTTCCTCACTGACAAGCATAGCCCTGTGCGGGCTCAACGTCCGGAAGGCTGGCCTTCAGTGTCCGTACAAGATGGCGCTGCTCTTTGTCCAACATCGCCTTTCCTGGCTCCCAGTTCATCCCCACCGAGTCTAAGTGAAATGAACGCCTGAATATGAGATTCTGAGGAAAACTACAGCGGGTGATGGGGACCTAGAGTCCCTCCGGACCAGGAAAGTGCTAGCAATAGTGTCGTAAGAGAGCGGACATCTTGCTTTACGGCATAGAGGCGGTGACTCCGGACGGTCCCTTCCAAACGTGAACCGGAAGTGGTGTTGTGTGCTTCTGGTTTCGGTGGCTTCGGCTCTCTCGCACCTAGGGATTGCTATTAAAAACAAAAGTCTCTGTCCAAAGGTGATTTCTCTCCCTTCAATGAAACCGGCGGACTCTGTGTCAGGAAAGGTGAGCGAAACTCCCGCTCCCTCCCTGCCGCCGGCGCCGTCGCTCCCGCTAAGTGGCTGGCCTCACTGGGCGCCAGTTACGCCGTGAATGGTGGGGATCTCAGCGTTGCTCGCTTAGAGGAGGAGAACGAGGTTCGAACTAAGCCCAGTGTATCACTCCCTACTCCATAAATGGGTGGTCTAGATGCCCCTGCTACTTAGGCAAGAAGGGCAGCGGCTAAGAGCTGCAAGGTGGGGTCTTTGCTTGGTGCTGGCTGCCTCAGCCGGGTCAGGCTTTTCCCTTGAGATGAAGCACGCACCTGGGCCAAGTTCTCGTCCCATTGGGTTCTGTCCAACGCAGCCCGTGTTTGGTAAAGCGGTTACAAGATTTTGTCTAGTCAAGAGCTGCATTCCTAATTGCGTAGGGGTCATTAGGTGTTTTAAGGGGAACGTGAATGAGGAAGGAGAACGGGGGTTCCGTAGTCAGAGAAGGGAAAGGAATTACAGAGCTGCTCACTGTAGATGCTATAAGCCAGCGTGTTTCTAGTTGACAGTTACGTTAGGATTCTTCTCCGTGTTGAAAAGTATTGCGTGGTTTGTTAAAGAACAGTCAGGAAGACTGTATAAGGATTGTAGAACGAGATGCAGGGGCCAGTGCAGTGGGGGAGAGATTGGACTCCAACTACAGCGTGAACAAAAGGAAATTTATAGCCAAAGATCGGTGTTGGGGTCAGTGAATGGAATGCTGATAAGAGGGAAAAGTAGGGTCAAACAGGACTGGTTAAGCCAAACTGGATTCTTGCTGAAGACAGCCCTGGAAGGTTTGTGTCTATACCGAGGATCCTGACGTGCAGGATGGGTAGAGGAGTGGTCTTGGTAAACTTACTGCACAAAATTCCTTATTAAAACCAGGTTTGACAAGATAGTGTGCAGGTGGGCCTAGAGAAGGGGTCAGAGACCTGACTAAAGTTAGACCAAAGGATCGTTTTCATGTCTCCAAGACCAGGAGATGGAGGCCCTGTCTTTCCTAATGACTACATTGCAAAGATATGTGTGGCCCTTGGCTCTTTGTGAAGGATACCCCTAAACTGTAAGAAATACGTACACTACCATAAGGGGACAAAGGAAGGATTCAAAATTGTAGACCCTTTTTAGTAAGTGCTCTAAGAAAAGTAACTTCGGGACCCGTTATTATTAGCAACCAGGTGTTGCCCAAAATAAACAGCACATTCTCCTGACAGCATTGAGCTTTCTCAAACAGGCATTTCAATGGGACATAAGAGACTAGGTCATCCTAGGGACAGGACTGTTGGTGCTGTCTCCAAAAAAGTAAAACTGGAGTGTGGGAATACAGTTCAGCAATACAGCCCTTGTCTAGGTTCTGAGTTCAGTCCCTAGCACTGTACAAGGTGGAAGTTTTAATTTTAAAAATTCTTCTATTTAGATTTTGTTTAGCCTCTGTATGAATGTTTTGCCTGCCTTTATGTATGCGAATCACATGCGTGCCTGATGCCCCCAGAGATCAAAAGAGGACATTGGATCTCCTAGAACCAGAGTTATGGATGCTGTGAGCCGTCACATGGGTGCTGAGTCCAGGTCCTCTGCAAGAGCCAGCGCTCTTAACCACTGTGCCATTTCTCCAGCTCAGAAAAACTAGCTGTTGTTGTTGTTATTATTACTATTCTTTTATTTTATTTGGCTTTTTAAGACAGGGTCTCTAGCTGCCCTGGAACTCACAGAGATCCACTTCCCTCTGCCCCTCCCCAAGTGCTGGGATTAAAGGCATGAAGTACCACACCTGGCGAAAAACTAGTTTTTAATGAAGATAGTTTAGGGTCTGTTGTGAGGGAAATAAAAGATAGCAACAAAGGTCTGGGCTGGTGAGAGGCCCAGTGGATAAAGGTGTTGCTGTGTGAGCCTAACAGCTTGATTTCTTTCTTGGGAGGACTCAACTTCAATTCCCAGAACCCACATGGTGGTGGCTCACAACTATCTGTAACTCCAATTCTAGGGAATCCAGCATCCTCTTCTGGTCTGTGGGCATTGAATGCATGTGGTGCAATGCATATATACATACATTTTTAAAATTTTAAAAATATAAATTCTAAAAGCCTTAAAAAGAGAGAAGGAGAGGATATCTGTGTCAGGCCAGGGGCAGAAAAAGGACCATAGAGGGCTAGCAGCAGCAGCAGGTCGTGGAGAAATTTTTTTCAAATGGTTTCACTGTATTCTGGGCCTGGAAGTGCCATGACCCACTGCCTCAGGTCTGTAAGCATTAGTATAGACATTATTTTTCCTCTAACATTACTGTTTGCCTGATTTCATCCTTAAAGACTCGGACATCATGAACTTGTGAGTTTTTTTTCAAAGGGGCTGATCTTTAAATACCTGATCAGTGTTTCATCCTTGCTCTGTACCAGTCCATGGTGCTTCTGTGCTACTGAGCATTCTTCGTAGTCAGTTTACTTACAAAGGTGTAAAAAGAAACATTAGTCTTTCTGTAGGAATAAGTGTTTGACACCTTGAAGTTGACTAAACTTGATAAGCAGCAGGAACCCCAATCACTTTTTAATTAAGTTTATTACTAATAAGAGCTAGAGAGATGGCTCAGCAATTAAGAGTAGTGTGCTGTTCTTTTGAGAATGAATTCAGTTCTTAGCAACCTATGTCAGGAAGCTCACAATTATAGCCTTGGGGGAGTCAGTGCACATACACATACCCACACACATAGACATAATTAAAAATAAAAACCTTTCTTAAAAAGATTACTGTCTAACTTAATTTAAAAGATAATTGTCAAGGCATTAGAATCACTTGTATTGTTAATGTTATTTGTAAGTTTTTGCTTATCTTCTTTAATTTCCTGAAAGCTATTTTGATGTACTTTCCCATTAATAACGAGATTAATAAAAACCTTTATTCTGTGATTCAGAACTCAGTTAACCCATTCTTTCTGTTCTAGTTCTAAATTACTATATTTCACTTTCCTGTACTCGGTTCTCTCCATCTTGGAAACTCAGCTGACCACTATGAAGTTACTTGGAAAAGAATTGAAACAGGAGCAGACATGTTTTGCATGTGACCGAAATTGAAACTCATAATGGGAAACATATTTAGTGATATAGTAACATGCTGAATAAACTGAATTCCACCTTTACACAGTAGTAACAGCAAGCCTTCTACATTCACAGGCTTCACGGGATACAGCTGGTTCCGCCATTCCCACTGAGGGATACTCTCACTCTTGGGTATGGATAGGGCCTGTGATATTCTATTTATATTCTATTAGCCAGCCATGTACAGACACCCTGGCACCAGGAAAAGCTCATGAGTAGCTGAGCATGTAGCTCTGTGATAGAGCATTTGACAAGCATATTTAAGGGTCTGGGTTCACATCTCAACCTACAGAAAAAGAGGGGTCACATGATTTGTGAACTCTCCCAAAATCTTTACCACTCCATTTCCTAGAATTCTTGCCCTGCTCCACTCAGCAAGCTTACAGCTGGGATTTAACATCTTGTCTGCTCCGGCCCACATTAGACAAGAGCTATCATTTGGGGCCACCCAGAAAATACACAACACTAGCAAAATGGGGGTGTCTGTGTACAATTTTGATAATCTCTACGAGCATATATAAAGAAAATGTTTTGCATACTGATTCTACTTATGCAGCACTCTGTTCAGAGAGTCTTACGATCTCTGGGCAGTCCCCGATTTGCAGTCACTGATAACTAAAGCTCAGTGGTACATTTGAAGAGCTAACATAAATATCTGGTTCAGTGGAAGGAAGTAGTTTCAGTTCACAGATGTTCATCAGATTTTTGTTCTAACTTCACTCTTAATTGTGCTTCATTCTTGAAAATAGTTGCTCATCTGTAGCTGCTGACATGAATAAGGTGAGTGGTGGGTGTGTCTACAAAGATAAACCTATAAACATCAGACACAATCAGATTTTCCTTTAACTTGGATGTCAGATTGCAACTCTGCATTCCATTTGAAAAGTGGCAGGTAATGTAGTAACTGAAAAGAGAGAAGGATGGTGTACCAAAATGAAGTTTTCCAGTTGTTTTTTCTTACCATATATCCCTTGATAAGCACCTGATTGGGCAGTTTGTATATAATGCCTTTCAAGTCACAGTCTTAGAAAACGTACACGAATTCCCTGCAAATTAAGCCTAGCGCCTCAACCAAAATGTAGCCACTGTCCATTGTTTGCTGGACGGGCATCCTTCATATGTAGTTTGTCTCTGGAGTTCTGCTGAATTTTTATTTATTTTGCTGTGGCGGAGGCAGGTAGTGAGTTTGGAGTCACCCTAGTCTGCATATCGAGTTCCAGACCAGCCAGGGCTACATAGTGAGACCATCCCAAACCAAAGCCTGTTCCGCAATAAGAGTTCAAACCCCAATAATCGCTGCCTTTCACTCAAGTCACCACGAGCATATGTAACATCTGGTGGTGCCAGTTTAACACCCTGGAAACCACCGTAAAACTGAGCCCACACGTACAGACAAAGCCATATTTTTATGATGTGCGACATTTCAATCTGTTGTCTAAAAAGTAAACTGAAGTCGCTACAAAAGAAATCACACACACACAAAAACAACTTTTAAGCTACACTTTTGTTATTTCAACACAGAGTCCTCTTTTCACATCTGATACTGTTGTAATACACCCTGACAAAGAGCAACTAAATGGAACAAGACTTTATTTTAGCGGACAACTCTAGGTTTTATATATAGTGCCATTACTGCGGAGGAGGCAGAGCAGCAGGAACTTAAGGCAGCTGATTGCCCCATCCGCACAGCCATGACCAAAGAGAAAGGATGCATCAAGCTTTCTCTTAGTCGTCTCTCAAAACCTGCACAGTGCAGAACCCAACCTCTGTGAAAATGTCTCACAGGTTTGCCCACGGGTCAACCCAATCCATATAAGACCTCGTTGAGACTGTCTTCTCAGGTGACGTTATGTCCTATCGAATTGACAAAACTAACCATCACAGATTCTCAGGTAGCCTATGCTGGCTAGGAATTGCAGAGGCAAGGGATGACTGAATTCTGATCCTCCTGCGTCCATTTTTGGTGTGCTCGAATTTTCAAGCCTGTGTACGACCAATCCGTTTTATGTGGTGCTAGTAAAGAAATTCCGGGACTTGGCTAATCCAACAGTCTGCCACCTGGGCTAATTCCCCAGCAGGTTCCGGATTGGGGTTGATCCGCTTTCTAGGCGTCCTAGGCTGCATGCATTCGTGAGTTGGACCCCTGTGGTCTGCAGTGTTGGGAGCCGTCTCCGCTCGCACTGGTCTCAGCCTGAGGCAGCTAGCCAGCAAAACAGGAGTACCTTGGGCAGGTCATTAATCTATAGGAAAGATTAATCAATCAAGATAGTGGACATCCGGTCTGGCCTCGCTGTGTAGGAAGCTAGGAACTTGGTGACAGATTAGGGCGACCGGCCTCCCTCGGGTAACCTGCTACGGCCCTGACCCGTCTTCAGGTGGCCCTGGGCTCGGCGCCCTTTCTTCTGAGTGGCAGGAAGGGACCCACGTACAGACACCCGAAAGGGAGACAGGTTAGCAGGTGTCGCGGTCAACAGGTCGGCGTCCTGTGCTAACTTCGCCCTCAGGTCAATAGTGCGCTTGCGCGGGATCGACGCCCCCAGCAACCAGCAATAGCGATGTGGTGACCCTACAAGCAGAGCAGGCCAATCAGCATGCTGTCTTCTGGCCCCGCCCCGCGCTGCGCCCGCCCCTTCCTCCGCATGCTGAGTCCTGCACCGTCTGCAGCGCGTTGAGGTGAACGCAGCTCGGAGCTGTCCCCGGCGACTGGTGAGGGGGCTGAGGGCCTCAAGGCAGGGCGGGCGGGGCCGCGACCCTCGACGGCTGCCGTCTCCCCTCGACCCGGAATCCAGCAGCCCGGACCGGAGAGCGACGAGCGGCGCAGGCGCAGTGGAACAGTGCGCCTGCGCAGGCCGCTCCGGGACGGTCGTGCTGTCCGGCCGCGCGTCTGCGAAGTCGTGCTCCTGACGGAGCGGGTCACGGGGAGACGACAGCCTCCGGCCTGTAGTGACGGCCCCAGGGGACCCGAGGAAGCGGGGGCCGCGCGCCCCGCACTTTCACATCACTCGGGGGCGCCTGCACCCGCCCGTGGCTCAGGCAGGCCCGCGTGCTCCTCCGCGGTGGGAAAGGATTCTTGCGGCCGAGCGAGAAAGCCAGAAAGACCTGGCAGGCTGTCGGCCAGTAAGTTAAGCCCCGGATTCAGGGTCCGCCTAAATAAGGGCGGTCTTGAAGAGTAAATCGCGATTGCCGCGCAGCTTCAGTTCTCAGGCTTATGGCTGCTTTGACCTTGTCCTTTTCCTAGAAAACGATCCTGGTTTCCTGTATTTAGCCCAGGCTGCGGGCACAGGTAGTCTAAGTCCTCTGCTCAAGGTCGCACAATTAGTCACGGAAGAGCCAGAATCTGGATGCTTGCCTTTCTCTTCCCTCTGAGCAGGTGTGTCAACATAAAAACGAAACTCCCCAAAGGTAATGTGAGATGTAGGCAGGCTACAGCAGAATTGGGGAGATACCTGCTGGGAGGTTTAGATGCTGTGTGATTATAGTCTTAGCTTTCAGGTTCGTGGAAGCCAATAGTATACGTTAATGTCTTCCAAAGGCTTTACCTGATGATTTAAAGGCTGTTAGATAACAGAGGTGAGAGATAAATGGCTATTAAGGCTGATGGAAGATGGCGGGGCAATGGTGGTGCATGCCTTTAATCCCAGCTCTCTGGATCTCTGAGTCACAGGCCAGTCTGGTCTACAGAGTGAGTTTCAAGACAGCCAGGGCTACACAGAGAAACCCTGTCTTGCGGGGAGGGTGGGAAGCCAAGATAAATTTATCACCCCTACCAGTCTTTCAGCCTCAATAATAGTTGGGGTATGTTTTTTTTTGTTGTTGTTGTTATTTAAAAAAAAAAAAAAACACTTAAGAAATGATCCAGGTAGCAAGTTTGAGGACCTTGTCTCCAAAAAAAAAAAAAAAAAAAAATATGACCTAAAGTAAAGGTAGCCGATGAGAAAAATCTGCAAACAAAAGGTATGGGAAGACTGATTTTGGTTTAAGATTTACTTTATGCGATTGGGTGTGTGTGCGTGCTCATGTGTATGAACTCACCCATGGAGGTCAAAAGAAAGCATCGGGTCTCCTGAAACTGCAGTTATAGGCATGTGAGCTACCCTATGTGGGTGTGCAGAAGAAACCAAAGTTTGGTCCTTTGCCAGAAGATCAGGCATTCTTAAAATCACTGAGCCATCTTTCCACGCCCATGGTATAGGTTTTAGTTCCTCTCTGGTGACATGCTTTGCTTCTAAGTTAGTAAAAGATAATAGTTTCCTAAATTGATGCATTATAAAGGATCTTAGGTCAGGTGGGTGATAAAGGACTATTAAGAGGACTAAAGATAACACAAGATGATTTGGGCTCTCCTTCTGCAACATTCCAAGTCTTTATAATCATTCCGCATATGTGTGGCTTTTCCAGGGAACTTTACAGGTTGCAATCCCAACTCAGTTATCTAAGGCAGAGTATATAGAATATATATGGTGGATGGGACTATGGAGAACAGATTTGAAAGAGCTGGATACTAGACTAATAACAGCCACTTGACACAAAGTACCATTTTAGCTTCTTTGTATGTTGGTGATCCTTTAAGATTTGATCACCTGGTAATGTCTTAATTGAGTTTGTATAAGTAAATTCCATGATATTCACAATGACAGGCCCACATTTTTCTGGACTCGTCCCATTGTTAATTGGCACATGATTATACATCATTTTTTTTTTACAGCCTAGAGTGTGTTATTTGTGTCCAATTCATTGGTTGTCCTAGAGAAAATGCAAGAGACTGCTCGTTGCTTCTGCCATGTTCTCCCTGTTCTGAGATGTCTGGCCTTCAGTTTTGCCCATTTGTTAGAGAGACAAAGGATAAGCTCTTGGTGTCAGTATTTTTTTTACTTACCTACATACTAATCTCTAACCTTCCCAGAATTCACAATCTTTGTAAAAGCAAAACTTTTGATTTGTATTTGGATCATGATCAGACTTAGTTCTTGAGATGGAAGCAGTTGTCACTCCTGTTTCTGCCAGCTCCTTGAATATGTCACACTGGCCATAAACCATCCAGTGATAAATGGATAATTGATTCAGGGTCCAGGACAACAGTGTCTCTCAGCTTTCAAGAGGTAGGAAGAATCCAAGTGAAGAGTCACTTTCCCTGGAGAAAGCCACAGTCCATTCCTACTCCTAGTTCCGTCCCCTCATTTGAGTTTCATTTCCTGGGTAGGGTCCTAAGATTATTGTAGCTGAATCTTGGGTGAAACTTTATCCTAATTATTCATTATCAATAAGAATGCAGGAATCAGATAGTGGGTAAGAACCTGAAGGATCAGAGAAGCAGAGAAGCTACTAGTAATCTCCTACCTGCTCCACTCCTTCCATCTAAGAGCTGAGATCCCTCTCTATCCCGCCTTACTACTTTCCTGTCCAATCTGTCTACAGTCCTCCAAAACCTCTGTGGTTAATTTTGATCATCTGTGGCTAGCTCAGCCCTCTGACTCTCAACAAGCTTTATTTGTTAGAACATGATCAGAATATCATACATTTCCCCCTTTTTGTCTAAAAAAGAAGGAAAATTATAACTAACATAGTAAAACTATATACAATACATATAATAACTATGTACATGTGAAAATTACATTAATAATGTCCAGTTCATTTGCATTTGACAAATTCAGAGAAAATCCTCCATTATCTATTTTGATGAGTCCAAAAGGCTGTACCTAATTCACTTTCTATTCTAACTTGCATTACCAAAACTGTCTTTTAATGTCTCTCAACCTTACACACTATTGTGAGTTTCTTTTCTGAATTTGGTAACAAGGAAAACAATAGTTATAACTATCTAATCTCCGACTCCCATCAGAGACCTGAGGTTTAGTACTACTGAAGTAAACAGAAAGGGCCAAGCAATCAACTTCCAAAACTAAGAAATGACAGAAACAGTTGGATATCTGGAGAGTCACCCAAGGTACCTCTATAGCTTTGGGACATCCATCTTCAGCCTGTAGGCCTAGGATATCTGACAGAGTTTTCTGTGACACGGGGATTATTAAGAACTGCCCCACTTTGTCTCAGCAAAGTTCGGCAGTCACTTTCTTTTGTGTCCTGCTTGTCCAATTTGAACACCATACTGTCAGCAGTTAAAGCAAGGGCAGTTGGTTTGCCCAGTGGCTAACTTTTGCCACAAGGAAAAGAAGCTCCATTTGGAGTTTTTTCAATCCACATCATTTTCTCTGAAGTAAACTGGTGCTGCCAGAAGCAGATGTGTCTTACTGTCATTTAAAGAACTATTTTATTAAAACATCTTAAATGCCATATTCTGTAGATCTCTGAAGTGTTTGAAGACCACCTGTCTACCTAAAATATATCTCTGTTTGACCTTGAAAACATAGCTAATATCACTACAAGTTTGTAATAAGTGAATAGTTTGTAATAATAATTTTCAAAGACTAGAAGTTTATATTACATTGTTGAAGGAGCTGTATATGTACAAAACCTTATAGAGTAGAAACATATGTACAGTAGTCTCTAACAAAAATAAATTTATATCAATATACAAAAATACCTTAAACAAGAGTAGAAACATCTAGTATAGCAAAAATAACCTCATTTTTTTAATCAATATACAAAAATCCATACCAATGTAAAATATTTAGACTGGTAGTGCTTTTTTGGTTTAAAAGTAGATTTAACACTGGGGAGGCAGAGGCAGGTGGATCTCTGTGAGTTCGAGACCAGCTTGGTCTGCAAGAGCTAGTTCCAGGACAGGCTCCAAAGCTACAGAGAAACCCTGTCTCGAAAAACCAAAAAAAAAAAAAAAAAAAAAAAAGTAGATTTAATAATCTACCCTTTTATCCTATCATTTCTATATTCCCCTTTATCTTTTTAGAATGAGATTCCTGAATCTAACTTTCTTTGTTCAGCTTTTTTCTTGACCATTACTAATAACAACTACCATAACACCCTGAACAACAAAAAAAATCACCTACCCTCCCTCTTGGGAATGTAGGTATTATGTTCTTAGCCATGTGGCTCAGTACCTTTCTCAGAGGGGCAGCTCACATGTTGCTTCTTTGGTAGTCTGGGCTGGAATTGGGGGAGTGGGCTTCCTCCTTTCCAGCATTCTCCTGTGCTCATCGCCCCGCCTCTACTTCCTCTCTGGTTGACCCGCCTATACTTCCTGCCTGGCCAATTAGCATTTTATTAAAATACATGATTGACAGAATACAGACAGTTCTCCCACACCAGACCCTGGATGTTTGAATATTGACAGATGTAAAAATAACTACCCAATAGGGACTATCAAGAAAACTGGGGGGGCTTGAGAGATGGCTCAGTGGTTAAGAGCATTGCCTGCTCTTCCAAAGGTTCTAAGTTCAATTCCCAGCAACCACATGGCTCACAACCATCCGTAATGGGGTGTGGTGCCCTCTTCTGGCCTGCAGGCATACACACAGATAGAACACTGTATACATAATAAATAAATAAATAAAAAATATATATAAAAAAAGAAAGTTTTAAAAAAAAAAAAGAAAACTGGGTAGGTTCTGTAAGTAAGATGTACTAAATCATATTTCTAAATTTATAGAGCTGGTTTTGGAGTTGGACTCTGGCTCAGTACCTTTTACAGCGGGGCAGATCACATGTTGCTTCTTTGAAGTCTAGGCAGGAGTGGGGAAGGACTTCCTCCTTCCCAGAGTACTCTTCTCATCGCCCCACTTCTACTTCCTGTCTGGTTGACCCGCCTATACTTCCTGCCTGGCCAGTCAGCGTTTTATTAAAATACATGATTGACAGAATACAGACAATTCTCCTGCACCACAACTCCAAAGCCAGCTTTAATTTTTAATTGAACTACAAAAAGACCATTTGCAGAACAGCAGAAACAAACATTTGAGATTTATGGAATTTTATCCTGTTGGAAACGTGATATACTAAAAGGCAATTTACTCTTTTTCTGGGACATTTTCTCTGGATGATTTATCCTTTTTTCTTTTCAGATGCCTCATTTGTCCAGTGGTCTTCAGATTCTTGAGTTAGATGTCTTCATTCTTCTGAAAAGATAAAAACAAAACCCTGCCCCAACCCTAACTTTAAGGAATTTCCCTTTAGGCAAGTTATATCTGATCAAATGAAAAACATCTGTTAGCCTTATAAGTTAGTTTCAATAGACTGTTCACACTGATGAAGATAGACTGTTCACACTGATGAAGATAGACTGTTCACACTGATGAAGTAGCTATTGCCTCTTCTAATCAAAAGCTCTCTTCAGTTCGTATCTAATCTTTGTCAATTTTGATGGTATCCATAGTTTTTCTTCTCCTCTTCCCCAACTTAACACATATCCTGGTCTCCATTCTGAGGTCAACATATCCTTAAAGTATACAGGTTGATTTAATTCAGCATTATTTTCTATTATCCAGTATCTCTCCACAGCTGTTGTTCCTTTCTCATTAGCATTTAAAAATTTTAAAGTTAATAAAGCGTTGTACAATCTATCTCTGGAGTATCTTAATTACCCCTTTCTTTTTATTAAGCATATCTTTTAGAGTGCAATTATATCTTTCTATAACTACTTGCCCTGTAGAATTTGGGGGTTACCTATAACATGCTTTATGTTATAATATGCAGAAATACTGTTTTATTTTACTAGAGACATCTGCTGCAACATTGTCAGCCTTAATGTATACAGGTATACCCATGATGGCCAAGACTTCTAATAGGTGTATAATTACAGAATCAGCCTTTTCAGAACTTAAAGCAGTTTTCCATTGAAATCCTGAATATGTATCTGTGGTATGGTGTACACATTTTAATTTTCCAAACTCTGCAAAATGAAACATCCATTTGCCAAATTTCATTTATTTGATACCCTTTGTGTTACTTCCTGTAGGCAGTGGTGTTTGGTTATACAAAGAACAAGTAGGACATTGCCTTATAATTTCCTTGGCTTTTTGCCAAGTGATGAAAAAAAAATTTTTCAAACCCTTGCTATGGTTCTTCTTATGAAGTTCTGAGGCTTCTAACACTTTCCCACTAATGGTGATCAATTTCACCATTACTTTATACTATATGGCCTGATAGATCCCTATAGGATCTGATCTGTGTTTATTCGAGAGATGACTTATTTTATTTACTTATTTATTTTGGTTTTTCAAGATTGGGTTTCTCAGTAGCTTTGGAGCCTGTTCTGGAACTCACTATGTAGACCAGACTGGCCTCGAAATCACAGAGATCCGCCAGTCTCCCCCTCTCCCCCATGTTGGGACTAAAGGTGTGTGCCACCACCGCCCAGCTCAAGGGATGATTTTTGTTTCTGATTATTTCTTATAATTGAATAAATAGCAAAGTTAATTTTAGATCATCTGGAATAAATTCAGAAGTTTCAGTATGTGAAACAACTCTTTTTGCATACTGAGTCAGTAACTATATAAGAAGTTCTGGAAAATTAATAATACCATGAGAAGATCATATAATTCTGACTTTTGAACAGAATTATAAGGGCTTTCAGCCACTTTACTTAAATTTCCTGACTTATAGCCTGACTTTCCTGATTTGTTGGCATCAGAATGTAGGGGCTCCAGAAATTGGTATTCTCTTTACAGTGTGAGGAAAGATCCAGTGAGTTGTCTTTATAAATGGAAGTCTCTTGATTTGGAGATATTTATTACTATTCTTTCCCAAAAAATTCCTACAAACTCTTTGCCACTGTCCATTTTCTGTCCAATATGAGGAAATTTCAGCATTAGTAAAAGGTACCACAATTTCTGTTGGGTCTACTAATTGATTAAGTCTCAATTTTCCTTTCAGAATCAACTCAGAAATTAGTTCTTTAATTTTTTACTGTATGGTAAAAATATCCATTCTTATATATTATCTTTTTTCTGCACTAGAATTTCAGTAGACGGTAAAATAAGCAGAGTACAGTCAAGCTGTGGATCCAGACAATCTACATGTACATTCTGCAAATTTTTTTCTTCCAAAGCCAGTTCTCTCTCAACCTCAGCTGATAATTTTCTTGTACTATTTAAGACCTTATCACTTTGTAATTTAGAAATAAATTACTAAGTTCTTGGGTTGTCAATCCAATTGTGGGACATAGCCAATTAATATCTCCCAGAAATTTTTGAAAATAATTGAAAGTTCATAATTGATCTCTCCTGATTTGTACTTTCTGTGGTTGAACTTTTTTGTAAACCTCTATTATATCCTTGGTAGAATTGATAGAATCTCCTTGTGGTTTTTCAGGAATAATTTATAATTCCCAATGAGGCAATTTTTTTTTACTTCGAACATTATCTTTAAGGTATCTGCATCTGAATCAACTAGTAAGATATCACCCATAAAATGGTAAATTATAGATTGAAGAAACTGATTATGAATTATTTCTAATGGCTGCTGTACAAAATATTGTTACAAGGTAGGACTGATTAACATTCCTTGTGGAAGAATCTTTCACTGATATCTTTTAACAGGTTAGGAACTGTAAGTAGGCACTGTAAAGGCAATTTTTTTTTTATATCCTGTTCTTGCAAAGGTATAGTTTAAAAAGAAGCACAGTCTTTTAAATCAGTCAATATAATAGACCATCCTTTAGGTGATAGAGAAGGCAAGGGAATTCCAGCCCCATTAGCTGAATCACCTTATTAATAACTCTTAGATCTAGTACCATTTTCCAGATTTCTTTTTAATAACAATACAGGAGAATTCCAAGGATTGGTTGTTTCTTCAGTATGTTGAGCATTTAGCTGTTCCTGTACCAGCTATTCTGAGACCTGTAATTTTTCTGATATTAAAGGACATCGTTCCACCCAGACAGGGTTGTCAGTTATTTTTAAGGTAGTGTTGTTTGTACCTTTGAAAGATCAGCAGCTGTTGTGCCCTGTTTATGTATAACCTGTATGGTCAGTGCCTGTTCTTTATAATACCTTTTAATGTTTTTCTCAGAAACATATGTTAGTTTCTGGTTTGTTCCCAAGATTGGAGGAATGTTAATCTGGGCATTCCATTCCTGTAATAAGTCATGTTCCCATAAATTCATTGCTATGTTAGTCCCATATGGCTTTTATTTTCCTCTCTGTCCTTCTAGCCTTATACATTCAGCCCATCTTATACTTTGTTTTACTTAAGATAAAGTTCCAATCTCTAAAAGCTGAACATTTACCTCCCAAAGAGGCCAGTTCTGATGCCAAGATCTTGGTGTAATTATTGTTACATCTGCCCCTGTGTCTATCAGACTCTCAACTACAATGCCATTTATTATTCATATTTTTAACTTTGTTCTTTGATCATTTATAGAAGTTTGGCAAAATGTGTTTTATGGTTTCTCCTTGAAATTTTTGTTTTATCTTCTAAAGCTATTCTGTCATGGAGAGCAGTATGGTTTTCCATAACAGGCATTAAGTCTTTTAATTGCTCTGTGGAGGATCATGACTGAACTAAATTTAATATAGGACTTGCAAGAGGCCCCCATGGTGTTTCCCAATGGTAAAGGGTTACCTTGCGTGTCCCATGTTGGTCTGAATTCATTAGGCCAATGTCTGTGTATTCCAGAAGGCTAGGGCCTTCTGTTTGGAATCTCTTTAAAAAAAAAAAAAAATGTTCCTGGGAACATCTTGTCTGTAATCTCTTTTCAGATGACCTGGTTTACCTCAGTTCAAACATCAAACCCTTTTGATTTTTCTTAATTTTTAGCAGTCACTTCTATCCAAGTATCACCACAAGTGTGAGATCTAATATCAGCTGTTTTTTAATCCATTCCTCTGTGGGTGCTGATCTTGCTTCCCAAGGCCTGATTGCCCTTTTATGTTCTGAATTAACATTTTCAATTAATATTCTTCTAACTCCTGTATCTGATATCATTCTATTTACAGTCCGTCTTTGTAAAAATCAGTGAAGGTTCTTTGGGGTCTTGTATAATTTTAGCAAATGGCTCAGTTCTCTTTCCTGATTCATCAATCTTGTCCTAAGCATTCAAAGCTGCTGTATAGCATAGGAACAAGGTATGATCATCAAATATAATCTGTCTTTCCACATCAGCATAACAGCCCTCACCAAAACTTTGATCTTGGGAAATCTCATAACTTCTATCCCTACCTTGCTCTTCAATGGCCCTAGCTTCATTTCTCCACTGTAACCGAGGACCAGCTTCCAATACTGCTATAACTACATCTTTCCAGTCTTGTGGAAATTCTGTTCCAAATGAACCATGAGTTTAACATCTGCTTCACAAAAAGTGAATGCATACCATATGAAACTATTGGTTTCTTAAATCTCTTCAAATCTAACATTTCTATAGGTTCCCAGTTAACTTCTGAATAGCCTTGGGGATGCCTATCGCTTGGTGGTTGCTCTTAAATGATTAACTGGATAAATTAAGTCTAGTTGTCTAATAGCCTTGGGCTGCTCCCCTTCAGTTTCATAATACCATGGTGTGGTAACTTCTGCTGTAAACTCCTCTGTGTGTAAATATTTTTCCTAGTTCTATTAGTCTGTCTAAGAATGTTATCAGTCAGGTTTTTTTTCTGTTGTTTTTTTTTTTGTTGTTGTTGTTGTTGTTTTTGTTTTTCGAGACAGGGTTTCTCTGTGGTTTTGGAGCCTGTCCTGGAACTAGCTCTTGTAGACCAGGCTGGTCTCGAACTCACAGAGATCCGCCTGCCTCTGCCTCCCGAGTGCTGGGATTAAAGGTGTGCGCCACCACCGCCCGGCTCTCAGTCAGTTTTTTGTATTTGTCACTAATATCAAATAATTTTTTAGGGGTAAAATAAAAATTACCAAATTGATAATTGACATTATGTCAATTATAACTAAGTTGATTTATCCATTTTCAATTTTCAAGCCATTCATTATAGAACTATACAGAGACCTGCATCATGTTTCCCATTTTTAACATGTAGGGGAAAAAAAAAGCCTCTTTAAACTCTTCTCTTTTTTTTTTTTTTTTTTTTTTTTGGTTTTTTGAGATAGGGTTTTGCTGTAGTTGTAGAGTGTGTCCTGGAACTAGCTCTTGTAGACCAGGTTGGCCTTGAATTCACAGAGATCCGTGTGCCTCTGCCTCCTGAATGCTAGGATTAAATGCGTCCGCCACCACTGCCCAGCTTCCTTTCTTTTTCTTTCTTTTTTTTTTTTTTCAAATCTTAATTTCACCCTTTAAGAATTTCCAGGAGTCTCACCAGATCTGCTGCTGATGGCAGTGAAGTGTGAGGATGGCTGAAGCTGTGTGGCATGCCTGGGTGGAGAACGCAAGTTGTGCGTAGCCTGACTGATGGCAGCTGTAGCTGATGGTGTGTAATTGTGAGCTGAGAGTATGTAGCAGTTGCAGCAATAGAAGCCAGCGCTGGTGCCGGAGCAGCTAACCTAGTGTGGCAGCAGCCTGAGGAGGGGGTCCAGGAGAAGTCCACAACCCATGGGGAAAAGGAACCAAGGAGCCAGCTTGTGAAAGGCAGCTTTGCCTGAGGTGAGGGTGGGGGCCATCTCTCCCAAGTGCAGAGGCTATCTCTCTTGTAGTGACCAGTGAGAGGGAAGGCCAGCAAAGGGCGGGGCTGGCTCAGCATGGCCCTTTGACTTCATCTTGCACGGTGCCTAAGGTCTCCTGAGGTGACACAGGCCACAGACATCAACACAGTCCCTAGCTGTAGTCTGGGCCTGGACAACATCCTGGCTCTGGGTGGAAGGAATGGCCACTCAGGTGGGAATGGTTCTGATAGCCATGTGGCTGCCTCAGGTTGCAGCCCCAACTCTGGGTCTCTATGGATATCCCAGTGGGGTTCTGTTGAGGATCCAGTGATGACAGTGTACCAGAAGCCCAAGGTCTTGAACCAGACCAGTGACTCATTGCATGAACATTTGTAGTAAAGCTGGCAGAACAAAGGGGTATAAGATGACACACTGAAGCCCCAATGCCACCAGGACAAATGAAGAGATGTTGAAAAGGAGGAGAAGCAAAGAGATCTGTTTTGGTTTTGGGGGAGAATTTTGGTTTTACTTTTGTTTTTTTGCTTGATTTGCTTTGTTTTGTTTTGTGGGGGCCTGGCAGGGGTAAGGAGAGGATATGAGGGGTGAGCAGAATTGGGGTACATAATGTGAAATTCCCAAAAGGTCAATAAAGAAGCTAAATTTGAATGAATGAATAAATAAATAAATAAATAATCTCACTCTCAGATCAATGATGGATGATTTCTAAGTGTTCTAAGCATTATAATTTTTTTTTTACAGGCTTCTACCCCAGGAACAGACCTTTGCTCATGTAATGGGATGAGGTAAGGAAGAGATGTAAAAGGGCCAAGCAGCAAGCTTATACCCTACACTCCTGTCTGTTATACTGAAAAGATGGAATATTTTTTATTTGCCTTTTATATATTTATATGTGTTGTGCATTAGGGTTACTTTGCTTGGGCATGTTCCCTGGGAAGTACTGGCCTAGGAGAGGATGAGCTCACAGAAGCATGAGCTAAGATGCCGGCCTCTCAGAGTCAGAGTATTGCTCTTGTACATTTGAAACCAGCCACTGGGTTTTAGTTTTATGAAGGCAACTATTCCTTTAAATGACCAGCATTTGGGAGGTAGAAGCCGGCAGTTCTCTGGGAGTTCAAGGCCAGCCAAGGAAACATGAGACCCTGGATCAAAAATAAAATTAGGGGCTGGAGAGGTGGCTCAGCAGTTAAAGAGTACATACTGCTCTTTTCATGGGATCCAAGTTCAGTTTCTAGCACCCACTTGAAGTCACTCCATTTCCACAGGATCTGATGTCCTGTAGTCTCTTTAGGTTCCTGCACTCTCATGCACATATCCATACACAGAGACATATGCATAGACATAAGTAAAAATAAGATAAATATTTAAATTAAAAATAGAAGCAAAGCTCTCCCTGGAGGATTCAGAGTTAACTACTCTGAAGTCTGCTCTATGGCTACAAAGGTGCCCCTGCTTTGCAGTACTTAAAAGTCATCTTTGATAAGGTATCCTGGGGTTTCTAATAGTCCAGATTGGGATAGGACAGGAGGGACACACATAAAAAGTGAAGTGTATCACAGTTAAGATGAGTAGTAAATGAATACATGTGGCACTATTCCTCAGTTTTGATTTCGTTTTTTAAGATTTATTTATACAGTGCTCTACCTGCATGCCAGAGGAGGGCACCAGATGTCACTACAGTTAGTTATGAGTCACCATGTGGGTGCTGGGAATTGCTCTTTTTTTTTAATGATTTATTTATTATGTATACAGTATTCTTCCTACATGTGTCCCTACAGGCCTGAAGATGGCACCAAATATGATTACAGGTGGTTGTGAGCCACCTTGTGATTGCTGGGAATTGAACTCAGGACCTCTGGAAAAGTAGTCACTACTGTTAACCTCTGAGTTATCTCTCCATCCCCAGTTTTGATATTTGAAAATAACTATTTAAGAAATAGCTTCCTCCTCCTGTATGTGGTGATGTGCCCTTTTAATCCCAGCACTGGGGAAGCAGAGGCAGGTGCATCTCTTAAGTCTGAGGCCAGCCTGGTCTATATATCAGGACAGCCAGAACTACATAGATTGACCCTGCCTCAAAAATTGAAGAAGGAAAAAAAGTCCTTCCTTCAGGAAAAAAATGCACAAGAGGAACATATCCATGGTCATCCTCCACCCAGCATGGAGGAGCAGCAGATGTAGAGTTCACTCTGGCTTCTTGTTGGCCAAGCATTTCATCCACTTGACTCTACAGAAGTAGAGGCCCAGTCAGTAGGTTCTTCAGCCAAGCCAACAATGCTGGTTATTGAGGGATATATTTCTATTTTCCACAAGAGAATGACTATTGGCCATTTTGTTTGCTTTTTCTCAATGATCTAAGAGCACACCTTACTAGAGGTTGTGTGATGTCCCATGCCTATAAAAACAAAGACTGACTGATCTCTCACCTGGTTGACTTTACTAGTGACTTCTCCCTCAGGGCCTGGGATCTGTCACTATCCCCAGACACCAGTATGATGTATGATCAGTGTAGCTGTGTCACCCATTCGATCAGCAAGTGTGTCATACCTATTTTCTGGTAGGTAGGGAATCCCCACTGGGATGCATTAGAAAATGACCAAGGAGGAATGCCAGGCAATGAGAAATCCCCAGGGGCTTCAGTCACACCAGAATGTAGGTTGAGTTACTTCCCTCTTGGCTTCCCCAGCAATGTTATGTGTTTCTAGTTCTAGCAAAGACCACACACACACACACACACACACACACACACACACACACCTTGGAATCCACACATGCTTATTTACTGGACAAGTGTCTTGCCTTACCTGGCTCTACCCTCTGAATTTCTAGGACTCCGAGTGACTTCCTTCTCTTGAGAGCTAGGCCAGCTAATATGTTACAGGCCTAAAGAGTTCAAGGTGCCTTTTCTGTGTCCCCAGCCAGAGTTGTTGCAGCCAGTGCTAGACTTAGGGTGACCTCCCTGCAGGGACCACAATGATGAGTCCAATTCCTGCCTGCCTTTGGAACGGCTGGGACATCAGCTCTTGAAAGAAGAAACTGAGGAATCCGCAGACCAGTTTTCAAGGCCACAGTCGTTTTCCCTCTGGTACTTTCCAGGTATTAAAACCACAGATTGTTGACTGGAAAGACAGGCATCATGTTCACAGCACCTGGCATGGCAGCGGTTGGGGGAAGACCTTATTCCTGCAGTGAATGTGGCAAGAGTTTTCGGTACAGTGCAGTGCTGCTGCGGCACGAACGTGCGCATGGTGGTGACAAGCGTTTCCGCTGTCTAGAGTGTGGTGAACGTTGTGCTCGAGCCTCAGATCTGCGTGCGCACAGGCGGACCCATGCTGGCCAGACCCTCTACGTCTGCAGTGAGTGCGGCCAGAGCTTCAGTCACAACAGCCTGCTGGATCTGCACTTGGGGACGCACCGGAGGCGTAGCCACACTTGCCGTTGCCGCCTCTGTAGCCGCCGCTTCCCTCACGTCCCTGCACTGCTGCTGCATCGGGTCCGTCAGCACCCACCAGAGAAGCCGCACCGCTGCCCACTGTGTGCCCGTTCCTTTCGGCAGAGTGCTCTTCCTTTTCACCTGGCACGGGCACACCCCCCGGAAACCACCACTGCCACTGCCCCTTCCCCTAGCACGCTCCACCACTGTACACAGTGCCCACGGGCCTTCCGTAGCAGTGCTGGGCTACGGAACCATTCCCGTATCCACGTGGTCCTCAGTCTCAGCGACCCTGGCGCTGAGGCCCACCAATGTGGTGTGTGTGGAAAGAACTTCAGCAAGAGTTCCACACTTACACGACATCTCCAGAGGCACTCAGGGGAGAAGCCTTTCAAGTGCCCTGAGTGTGGCAAGGGCTTCTTGGAGAGTGCCACGCTGGTGCGGCACCAGCGAACACATACTGGGGAAAAGCCATACGCGTGTAACGACTGTGGACGCTGCTTTAGCGAGAGCTCCACGCTACTGCGCCATCAGCGCAGCCACCAGGGTGAACGGCCACATGTGTGTCCCACTTGTGGCAAGGGCTTTGGACAGCGATATGACCTTGTGGTGCACCAGCGCAGCCACACGGGCGAGAGGCCCTTCCCGTGCCCAGAGTGCGGCCGGGGCTTCACAGACCGCTCAGACCTCACCAAACACCTGCGCACACACACAGGGGAAAAACCTTACCACTGTGAGCTGTGTGGCAAGCGATTCACCTGCATCTCCAACCTCAATGTGCACTTGCGCAATCATGCTGGCCATAAACCACACAAGTGCCCGGAGTGTGGCAAGTCCTTCAGTGTTGCCTCCAAACTTGCACTGCACAGAAAGACACACCTAGGTGAGCGGACAGCAGAGTGCTCAGAGTGTGGCAAATTCTTTAGCCATGGCCGGTCACTGTCACAACACCAGCGGTCCCACAGACGTGCTCGAGCAGCTGCCATGGCAGCCACTACCACCACCACTGTAGTCACTGAGGTGACAGTAAGTCCTCCCCTTGCCCTCACAGGGCCAATGCAACAGGAAAAACCAGGGCTCTTGGTGTCTCCATTTCAGGAAACTTGCTAAGAGGACCCCATGAGGGGTGTGGGTGGACACACATTGAGTGAGCCCCAAGGAACAGGGCAGCTCAGATGGCTAGGTATTCACCTAGCTTGCCTTGTCTCTAAACCGAGATCCCCACCAGCTCTTCCATCATCTTCCCCAGCTCTAAGTACTAGGAGCCAGGGAACCAACACCACATCCCTATGCAAGACAGACTAGGTGTTCGTGCTGTTGCTGCCACTCTGCTCTCTGATGTTGGTGTGGCTCTTCAGGAAACATTTGGTCAGTTAGATCTCTTGCTTTTTATCGATCTGTTATCTCTACTGCTTTCTCTTGCTTGAAACATGTAGTTGCAGAGGTGAAACACAGGCAGTATGGAAAACTGGAATGGCTCCATTCATTAAAGAACCAAAATCTGTGGCAAGTTACTCCCTTGACGAGGTAAAAGTAGCCAGTAGCCTGGCTAGCCATATGTCCTTTCACAAGATGCTTCTTAGGGCCCAACAAAGTGGTTCAACATCAGTTGACAACCTGAGTTTGATCTCTGGAACCCACATATATACCATCCATGGCCCATGTGCACACACAAAGAAGTAATTTCCCCCTCCCCCAATAAATGGCTCTTAGGACAGTTTTCTCTAGCCAGGTAATTGTTTGCCTTGGGATGCAGCCCATGACTGTGTGGGTCCATAAAGCTCAGTGACACCATGTGAAACAATGTTATTTACAGATGAAGCTTCAAGGCACGAGGAGACAAGTTCCCTGGAGTCCTGGGCAAGGGCAGGATGTAAAGCCTGGAATTGGTCAATGACTGCTTATAGGTGGTGAAATTGTTACTTGTTTGGGTTTGTGACACCAAGAACCCCTTCGTCAAAATGAGTTCCAAGTTCTCATCCCTTTTGGTGGTGGTTTCTTCATTGCTGTGACAAAATGCCCGAGAAAATCAACTTAAAGATTTATTTTGGCTCGTGGTTTCAGTAGTGTCATTCCATTGTCAACTGGTTCCAATTCTGTGAGCCTGAAGCAAAGCCGAAAGGCATGGGAGGCTACTTACTTCAGGGAAAGCATACAGGAACACGATTACTCTTCAGAGGTAATTCCCCAGGGACTGTGGCCTCACTAACAGACCTTCAGCTGTGAGCTTAACTCTAACTCTGAACAGCTGTTTCTCTGTAGGGCTTGGTACTGCATACCAGGTCAGACTGCAGGGTCCAACCTGAGGCAAATGCCTTCTGGTGCAGCCTGCCCCCAGACCAGGGCAGATGATACACTACAGGAAAGGTCTCAAAAGAAATTGGGCATGTTAGCGGATCAGTTTCTGCTGCATTTTGGCACAGCTAACATCCTGTTTTCAAAAGACTCTCAGATTCTTAACTCTGTAACACCAAAGCATTTGTTCTGCACACATTTGTATAAAATACCGCTTATTGTTCCTTGAGGAATGCTAAAGCAAGGTATCTGGAGCCCAGTCATGCCCTACCCTCAACTTCACTCTTAATACCTAGCTCCTGGGGACCACCATCTGACTTTTCTCTGCATCCCTGAGATCTGGCAGCCCAGGTTGTGAAGAGCTGGCTGCTGAGAGGGCAGAATTAGAGTCAAAAGAGGAAGAGAGGCTAGCGCCCTCAGGAGTTTGCAGGGTTTCAGCCACAGAGATGCTGGGACTAGACTCCAAAGAGCCAGGTGACTCCTGTGCAGAGAGCAGGGTTGGGTGGCTTTTGCTGCAGTGAGCTGCCACACTGTCTGGCTTCTCAAAGCGTTTGCCACAGAACTCACAGGGGTATCGCAGGGCAGCTGCAGTTTCTGCATGCTTGCGTCGGTGCCAGTTTAGAGAGGCCTTCTGACGGCAAGTGAACCCACATATCTCACACCTGCAGCCAGAGACAGAAGCCTTGGTCCACTTTCACCTCCCTGGAGGTTCTGCTGCCCACTTCCTGGCTGCCAGATACCAGCTCCCTCCATGGCCCCTGGCACTCACTGCAGGGGCTTCTCTCCTGTGTGGATTCTTCTATGGATGACAAGGTTGCTGCTAGTGCGGAAAGAGCGAGCACAGAATTCACAGATGTAGTCCCGGGTATCTGTAGGCACACAAGGGACATTCAGTCACCTGTCTTCAGGCTTTAGCCCACCATCCCCAACAGAAGGCGAGTACTGGGGCTCAGGAATCTTGGGTCTTAATACTTGACTGGTCCTAAAAACTAAGTGAGACAGACAATAGAGCATCTAAAACTGCACTCCTGTCACCTTTAAGCCCTAGCTCTGACTGTCTCCTAGGCACAGGCATGCCTCCCCTATTTGGGGCCTTGGGCTGCATCTTTGTCAAAGGAGTAATTAATGGAGAGCTGGAGGCCTGTGTGGATAGGAAGTGCCAAGTAGCAGGCACATACCCAGGACCAGAAATCTTCCAGGTGCACGTTGTACCTGCCATCCCCAGTGCCATGTCTACAAGTGGCCAGTCTTCCTTTTACTGAACTTGCTAATTCCAGCAGCACTTGGTGTCACCATTGTTACTGATCAACAGCCCTCAGGCTTTTGTGGTTCCTCTCCTCTGCCACTAAACCTAAATGCCTGCAGCAGAAACATCCTTGCATCTTATGACTGTCTCACAGCTCTCTGAAGACCTGGCCATTACCAGCAGACTCTTTCCTCCATCACTGCGCCTCCCACAAGCTCTGGCTTCAAATCCTCTCATCTGCTGTGTCCAACTATGTTGGACAAACCCAAGCCGTTACCATCAGTGTACAACCATCTCTACTCATCTAGAGTCCAGATTCTCCACATAGTCATCTCTGAAAGTCAGCTATCTCCCTACCTTGGGAGAGCTCACAATGGACTCATCCCAAAGTAGAAGCCACATCATCCTTACTGTGGCCTTCGAGGCCTCCTCTCCATTCCTGAACACATGGATGCTTCCCACATGCGCTTCCCTCTGTTCCTCACTTCACTCAGGTCTTGCTACAAAGCTTTGACCACAGAAACAACTTGCCCTTCCTGCTCTCCATCCTCCCCTTCTTTCTTATCTCTTCATGGCCCTACCTGACTAGAGTAGACATTTCACAACAGTCTCAAGCAGGCAAGGGCTAATGGCACACAGGAACTAAGGGATGTCGTCCTCCCCAGGGAGCTGAAGGGTCCAGCACTCACCACTGTGCAGCTTCATGTGCTCCTTCAGGTGCTTCTTAAAGTTGAAGGACTTGCCACAAGCTGGCTCAGGGCAACAGAATGACTTCTGGTGGATGTGCTGGTACTTCTTGTGGTGCTAAGAATGGGTGACGAGACGAGGCAAAAGGATGGCTGCCTCCGCAGGGAGACTGACTTGAGCTGGGTGGGCAGGCAGGCTCCTCTTCCACCCTTGTTTCCTACCACAGTTCTGTCATAGTCTGGGCCACCACTTTACCTATGCCCTAAGTAGCACAACTGTCCTTCCACCCTGACCACTGACTGCCCTCACCTGCTCCCTCTGGATGGCCACCCACTCACTTCCTTACACACCGTGATTACCATGGCCACAGAACTGCCTGCACAAAATGACATTCTGAGTGACACTCATGGTTTATCTGTCTTGCCTTGTCTGTCAGAGACAGAGTGTAGTTTAGATGAATATGATGACCCACACTGATATGTGCTGCAGTCTCTGGCTACTGCTATTTATACATACCAAGGTGGGGCTTTCTCCTAAACCTGCTTTGAAAATGCACGGGCTTCATAGGCTCTCAAAGTAGAGCACTGTTGAGGGAAAAGGGTTCTTTGGGGTTTGGGGGAGGGAGTTCTTGTTTTCTATTTTCTTTTTTCAGTTTGGGGTTCTGATCCAGGACCTGGCATATGACAGGCCGGTGCTCTACCACTGAGCTACACCCCCACCTGGCAGATAGTGCTTCGAACTAAACTTCCCAATGAGCAAGTCCTTCTTAAGTGATCTAGTCTCATCCTAGCTCCTGCAGTCCTGGATGCCTTCCGCACTCTAGTCCTTTGTTCCCAGAGTTAATGGCAGCAGCTGCTGCAGTCCCCCACATAAGAGGCTCAAGTCTGACCTGCAGGTGCCCTTCTCAGGTCCACCCTGTCCACCTACGCCTCACCATCTCTCTGATCCTCCCTATACTTGGGGCCAGAAGCCCTTACTTACTGTGGAGCATGGGTCTTTCCCTCTACACCAAAAGCTGTGTGTGCTACCTTGCACATGCTAGACAACTGCACTACAACTAAGTTATATCTACACTTCAGCCCAGGAGTGTCTTTTTCTCCACCCCACCCGCAACCCCAGTGGTCCCGCAGGCCTCAGCTTGTGTCCCTCACATTCAAATACTGCCGGTTGGAGAAGATCCTTCCACAGCCAGGGAAGTCGCAGGGCATCAGCTCTCTTTTAGCAGCTTTTCTGTGGGGAGAATGGGAGCAAGACTCCTGCGCTCTGCCTCACTCCTGACCTCCCCCCTCCCAACAGTCCAATCTCCCCAGTCCTACCTAATTCTCCTGAGCCCAATCTGGGCAGTGTCCTCATCCCAGGTCGGGTTCGGATCAGACTGGGCCTGACTCCCAGGTCTATGGGTAACAAAGAAGCAGCCAAGCACCTCAAGAGTGACACATCCCAGGGCACCCCGGCCCTCTCTGTCTCAGCCATCAGGTTACCTGTCCAGAGACTCGGTTATTTGCAGTTCTACAGAGGCCTGAGGGGTCCTTCTGAGATCCAGCTGTACCTCAGCATCTGATGTTAGAGCAGCTGGAGAAGCCAGCGAGGAAAGAACAGCACAAGGAGCGGGGAGAGTTGCAGGTACTGGTGGTACCTCTCCCTCCTTAGGTGTATGGGTAACAGGGGATGGAGGCGGCTTAGGGACATCTGGTTCACTACTGGAAAGAAGAGGAGAAGGAGGACATTATCCCTCTGGGCAGTCAGTCAGCCCTAACCAAGTCTAGCCCCTAAATGGAAAAAATCCCAACTCCCACAGCGGGTTCTCATGCTCTCAGCCTCCCCCAGACTTCATCCCTTTCGCACATTCCCAACTCAATTTCAACTCACTTTCCCCAACATCTGCCCTGCCCACCCTGCAACAAGTCCCTCCCTCCAGCTGACACATCTCCGAATTATAAGGAGCCAGCTGCTTCCTCCCTCTCTCAAACTGTTCAACATCCTCCCTCAATCCCAACTGACTCATCTGGGGAGGAGCTGTAGGTCCATGGGCTGGCATCACTGAGCAGCTCTTCATCCTCATCCTCGTCCGCATCCTGTTCCTCTCCCGGGGGTGGGAAAGTCTCCAGTGGGGATTCTAGTCCCCTGCAAGCTCAAGAAAGACAATCCTGAGAAACTGCCACCTTACCCCGACTACCTGTGCAGGTCTAGCCTGTCTCTCACCTCCCGTCCTCACCTGGACAGCCTGGTTTCTGGAGTCCTTTCATGCTGCTCATGGTCCAAACCTGTTGGCACGAGCAGGTCATAAGAGAAGGAGGCCTGTGCTCAAAAGACTGAGGACAGTTTCTTCCCAATGGTTTGCTAGGTAGTACTTTTTTACAGATGCATTCTCTTTTAAACCTTATTTCTAGTTTCTGTCAAAGACAGTTTACCATCACTATGGTTTTGCTTCCTATACCTAATAATGCATGTGAGGATATATTTCCTTGCTAGCACAAAAGGATCGTTATTAGTAACTCCAGCACTCAGGAGGTGGAGGCAGGACCAGGACTTCAAGGCCCCTTGGCTATATGAGACCCTGTCTCAATCAATATATTAATTAACAAATAACAAGATCATTTTTATAAACCAGTTTTCAGCTAGAGAAGATTGGAAAACTGTTTTCTTTCTCCACAACCCTTCTTTCCTTACTCACCTTCAGGCTCCTGCTTCCTCCTAGCCTCTGAGCACCAGGTTCTCTCAGTAGTTTGTGTAAGGGGGTGCTGCTTAGGCACCTCTGAAGGTGTAGGACTCAAAGAAGGTTCCCAGGAGAACGTGTGGCCTGCTGAACACTCCCACACAAGCTCCCCA